AGCTCGTCGCGAGCAATTAATTCGCTCGCCGGTTTATTACATAGATATATAGCTACGTAACTGCGAATTAAAAAGTTTTCGAATTCCTGATAGAAACGTCGAGAAAGAGATGGAAAAAATTAATCTACATGATAATATTATAACGAAGCTCTCTCTCTCTCTCTCTCTCTCGGTCGGCGCATGGACGACAAGGAGTGAGCTTGCGCTGCGGAGAAAGAGACGTAACAGTGGTAACTTTTTGTCTGCCGCTGCCCTCTCCGCTTATGTAATAATACGCGCGTATAGCGGGCGAAAACTATAATACGTAGAACTGCTGGCTGGCCCCCATCGTCGTCGTCGTCGTCGTCGTCGTGCAGATAGCGCAAACCGGTATAAAGCCAACTTATGTCAATTTGAATAATTCAATAGGTATAATAAGAGCTTGCGCAAAACTAAACTTCCCCATGCTGCGGCGGCGTACGGCGGGGGTGGCTTAAAAAACCTTATACGAGCTGCGGAGAGAGAGAGAGAGAGAGAGAGAGAGAGAGATGCTGCTCTCGCTAGCGCACATTTTGTCTCCGCTTCGCACACGGCTTTTCATACGCGCGCGCGCGTGTGCGTAAATGTGTTATACCACCTACCGCCTCCAACGAGCGCGAGAGCGAGAAAATGAGAATGATTCCGGAGATTAGAGATATGTTGCCGTGACCGCCGAGTATGTGAGTGCTTCGCGCACGAGTACGCAGGTTGATAAAGAAAAAAAAAAAAAAATTACAAAAGAAAAAAGGGAGAGAATGAAATTTTTCCCTATCTCTCTTCCTTTTTTTTTAAACTCAATTTCACGCTACTCGCATTCGGCAAAACGAGCCGCCTTTATAAAAAAAATACGCTATTAAAACTCTCGGCCGGCCGAGCTGAAGCTCGTGTCTCGAATTTCGGTGTGTGTGTGTGTGTATGTATCCGCGAATGTACAAGCAAGAACGATGGGCTTTTTTCGTAAATTAATTAAATCCCCGCAAAAACATGCCCACAAAAAGCACCTACTCCGTACGAGGCGATTTTATACGTTTTGCACGCAAATACGTATAAATAGGTTTATGTACGCCGAAAAAGAGCTCGAGAGACGAATTTATGCGATAGATACGCGGTAATACATATCGAGGTGCTGTATACACGCAACGGCCCAGCGACAGCAGCGGTCGATTTCGCGTTAAATTGGAAATACAGCAATAAATGAGCTTCTCCCGCGAGCAATACGTCTTTCCTTTTCTCTCTGCTACTTCTCGAGGTTCTCTCTTTCTCTGCGGTTAAAATAAAGTGTCACGTATTTGTCTTATGCCAAATAGATGAGAAACTCCTCTCTCTATATAGCTCTCGATTCGAGCTCTACACTACGTACGTGCTGTATCGATACTACTCTTTTTTTTTTTCATTCTTACTTCGTTTCATGAGAATTGCGAGCCGAAGCCGAAGTCGAGGAAGAGGAGGTCGAGCGTAAGGTGCTCCGTACTACATGCATGTTATATCTATATATTTGCTCGTTCGCTCTTCTGTCTCGAGAAACGTTAGCGCGGGGCGCGAGAGGGTATACGTATAGCAAGTATGTATACATAAGCGATCGACTGGAATTTTTTAAACTCAAGACGATCGATTTCGTTTCTTTTTTTTCTTTCTCTGTTGAGACGAGGATCTCCGACGTTGCATTATACGAGAGCTGAGCTGCTGTATATATATACGGTGAAGCACGGAGTAAGAGTGAAAGAGCTACCTGCAATACGAGAGGAATAATAAAAAAAAAAAAAAAAAAAGAAAGAAAAATAACGAGATTCGTTAATCGCATCGCTGCTCTGGTTTTACACGCGTGTCTGTCTGTACTCTGCATACACCTCGGGCAGGGAGAGAGAAAGTAGTGCAATGTTACGCAAAAAGCTACATAGCCGTATAATATGCATCACGACGCGTATACAATATTATGCGTGCGCCGTGGCGCAATGTTCACCACTCGAAAATTGTCTGTGTTTGTAAAAAAATCTCTGGTAGGAAGGAAAAGCTGCTGCTGCTGCTGCTGTACTCGCGAAATGATACATACGTAAGTACATAACGCGTAATTTAATACGATACGTCGTCGCGAGCGAGCAGCGCAAAATGTTTCGTTTTCTTCGTTTTCATCTTGTTTTCGTCTTTTTAAAATATATTTTTGTCGCATGTTACGAGCGGGTGCACGCGACATGCGCAAACTTTTCAGCGTGCAATATTATCTCGTCGTCGCGCGCAATACGAATTTTCAAGTTTTTGTATTACGTACATATAAAAATGTACATCACGTGTGCTTGTTTGTGCATAATACAGACTCACACACACAGGCTCATCACTAATATATATGCATAGGTACATATACTGCACAGGCGTATATATGCTCTTGAAAGAACAGAGAAGTTAGTAGAGTAGAGTTAAGCTAAGACGAAGTTTTTTTTTCGTGTGTTTGGAAGAGGGGGCGAAGGACGCGCGCGAGCGAAAATCGACACCCAACGACAGCTGGCTCTGGTCTCTCTCTCTCTCTCTCTCTCTCTCTCTTTTGTGTGCAACCCGCGCGCGATGCATCCACAGAAGCAACAAGCCAAGCAGCAGCAACGGCAGTAGCATCATAAAGACTCAAGAGAAGAGAGGGAGAGAGAGAGAGATGAGCTTGTGAGCGTGCGGCATATATATATAATATATACAGGTACACCTCTCCACTTATGTATCAGAGGTATATATGCTTATTATTATACCTATATATATATTTTGTGAAAGCAAGTTTTTAAAGCGTCAGCTGGACCAGATAATCTTTGCGGCTTGTGCTCCTCTCTACCTCTCTCTCTCTCTCTCTCTCTCCCCCTCGCTGCTGTGATGCTCGCAAATATACACACAGGCTTTGCGGGCTTTATGCCGTTCCAGATATATACGTATATATATGTATGAACGTGTACGGATCGAGGGCGCGTGGCACGTCGCGCGCGGACACAACTGTACGACAGAGGAGAAAAAGAAGTTTAAGCATATTGTTCTCTTGGTCTCTTTCATTCTTCTTTTCGATTCTTTCTCTCTCTCTCTCTCTCCTCCCTGCAATTCTTGTACTTTTTTTTGTTGTACAAACGAGCCACGCGCGCGCATACATGTGTACGATGCCCCGAAAAATATGTAGGTAGGTTCAAACGTGTGCATTATAACGACGATGTATGTACCAAGTGTGTTTGTACCAATGTATAATGCATCTCGCTCTGCAGCACCATCTGCACTTTTGGGCTTTATCATTATGTTACACGTACAATATACCTTTCCAAATTTGAAAAGGCGCGAATATATACTTATATACGTATACCTCGCAATCGCGCGCGCGCCGAGGCTCTTCGGAGTCGTTTCGGCAGGCTCAAGAGCTTCTCTCTTCTTCATCTTCTAGTATAAATTCGGTCGATAAGAGTAATGCATACATAGAGTTGTATAATGAAGTGCGTCGTCGTCGTCGTCGTCGCGTATCTGCATATTAATGCACCCCCACACACCGTCGTCGATAGTTGTCGCATGCATACCTATATACAATCATCGTCGTATATATATAGCTATCTCTCTCTCTCTCTCTCTCTTTCTCTCTCTCATCGAGTACTGCGAGAGCTTTTATAATCACCGGCGCATAGAGTGAGTAAGGAGAGCGAGAGAGAGGATATTTATGTTATATATACACGAGCGGGCGGGTGCGCAGGCATCAAATTCTCAAACGCGGTGGCGTTGATGAGCTCTTTTCAAACCAAAAATTTCTTAATATAGAAACCGAGCTTTACTCTCCCACATAATATATAAAAAATATGTGGAGTATATTATGTATACTCTCGCTTCGAGCTTGCAAGCTCTCTAATTTTTTCTCTCTCGCGGTGCTCTCTCGTCGCGCGCTATGCGGTCGAGGTTTGAAATTTCATCGAAATTTAATTATCGTCCACTCTGCTAGGCGCATATAGTCGCGCGTGTGCAGTTAGATATACAAAATATATGATTCAAATTTAAACTATGCTTTTAATTAACGTACTCTCCGTCGCCGTCGCTTTGGATCGTTCCCTCCCGCAGAACGGATATACAGGAGTTTTTAATATAGTATATAGGTGTCTCTCGATTCTTTAATAAAGCTCGACGCTCTGTGCGCGAGTGGTATACCATGGGTTGAAAAAAAAGACAGCCAGAGAGAGAGAAGACAATAATAGCCCCCGCGTGCTTTTGTTTTCGCGCGACACGCGTACATATATATACACTCGACGTGCGATGTTCATTTAACGCTCAGGGATGTATACCATAGGACGGGAATTTTTTTCGCTTACTCTCTCTCTCTCTCATTCTGGACGCGCTGCGCACGCGGAAATCGAATTAAACTCCCGGTTTGATTTCTCTTCTCTTCTCTCGGGCGAAGCTTAAACGAGAAACGAGGATATAGGTATAACATTCGTTTGTGTATGTATGTGTATAGTTGCTCGACCGAACGAAAAGAACCAAAAAAGAAAAGTGTGTGTAAGTAAGTAAGTAAGTAAGTTAAGGGGGTGTGTAAGAGAAAATTCCGCTGAAGCCGAGAGAACATTTTCAAACACACGCACACACACACACACACACGTAGTAGGTAGCAGTTAAGTTGTTTATAGGCGAGTAGCGGCAGCGGCGTGGGTGGCGATGTTTGTTTTGTATTTATAAAAGGGTGAAAATTTTCTCGCAGCGCTGAGACGCTTACACGCGCTTATATAAAGAAAGTTTGCGCCTCTCTCGTCTCGTCTCTCTCTCTCTCTCTTTGGCTCTCGATGCAGTTAAAGGAAGTTTGTTGTTTCAAGTACATAGACTTGGTGCTACTGCCAGCTAGGTAGCTAGCTAGCTACTAGCTACTGCTAACCATGTAAACGCCGTATATATAGCGCACCGTAGGTACAAATTGAGCGATATCGCCTCGAAAGCTCTTTCCTCGACGAGGCTATGGCTAAAAATAATAATAATACGAAAATACAAGTTACCTCAACTGTTTGATCTCGTTCTTGAGCACGATCAGCTCCGTGTTCTTCTCCATGGTGCGCTTCAGGCTCGCCTCGAGCGCGTCGTAGTCCTCCTGGCGATGCACCAGGAGCGCCGCGACCTGCTCCTGCAGCAGCTTGACCGTGCTCGCGAGCTCGTCCTCCGAGCCGATGAGATCGTGGCTGCCGCTCGAAGCGGCGCTAACGACGCGCTGAAACTCGGCTCCGTCAACGACGACGATCGTACCGATCATCGCTGCTCGAAGCAGCAGCAGCATCACCGACACGAGCTTCATGGTTCGAAGATCGCGATAAATTTAATCCCTGTAACGTTATCTTCTTTTTTTTTTTTTTTTTTGATTTATTTTTAATTGGAAACTCGTAGCACAAACGTAAGACACAACAACGAAAACATCAACGATCGAATAAACAACGAACGAGTAGCGACGAAATCAATGTCGATTTTACGAACTGTTATACTCGTACGGTATACTCAAATCGGCGAGTGGTAGTAGCAGTTAAAGCTGGAGCGGCGCGAACGGCACGTCCTCATCGCGCAAAGCTTGACTGGCTTATGCCGCTGCCGCTGCTGCTGCTGAGCGAGCGAGCGAGCGAGTCTCTCGAGTAACATAAAAGCCTGAGTGAGCGTCTACCTATATATATATATGTGCATGTGTATGTGTGTGCGCAGCTGCACAGGTTCGGAGCGGAGTACATATAGGTAGGATATACACCGAGAGAGGCACGCAACGCACGAGTCGCTCGACGAGCCGACGACGACGACGACGATATAGAGCGGCAGGTGTGCGCGCGCCTGCCCCTGCTATATAGCCAACATCGGCCTGCGCAGCACACCTCCGAGCCGACCGAGCGCCCGCTTCAAGCTGCGGCATGTGCACTACACACGCGCGCGAGAGGGAGAGGGGTATAGGCATATTATATACCGTAAGTCGGAGTCGTGTGCGTTGGTGTGTGTTGCATGCATGTGTGTGCAAAGCTACACGCAGTCGATTGGCAAAGTAGCAGCAGGACGACGACGACGACGATGTGCGGCTCGTGGCTGCGCTTCTTACGTGCGTTGTATATCGTATTATATGCGTTATTTGTAGCCGCACATGGACCGGGGGCTCCCGACACTTTTATCATAATATACCCCCGCATTTTATTCCTTACTCCCTTTGCTTCTTCTGCTCGTATTATTATACTTTTATATAATGCAACAGAGTTTCTTCGTTCGGCAACATCTCGTAAGTTTTGCAGGCAGCCACTGCCACCGCTGCTGCCCTTTTCCTTCTTCGTTCTTCTCCTCCTTCCCCCCCAATTTTTTTTTCTTCTTCTCTCTCTCTCTCTCTCTTTTTCGGTTATAAGTACGCCACGGACGTGATGTTATTATCTAGAAGAAAAAAAGAGAGCGAGAGAGAAAAAGATATAGACTCGGTAATAAAGAGGGGCTGCCGGTGACGCGTGCGGATCGCGCGAGGCTCGTGACTCTCGGCGAACTGCTACCTAAAAAATTTCTTCTTCTTCCTCTTTTCTCTCTCGATTTTTGAAATTGAGCTCTCCTTGCGCATACACACATACACATACACTGCCACTTGTTGACTTGTACGAAAGGGCAAATACGCTTGCATAATTATGCATTATGCATGATACAAGCGTGACAGCGATATCCCGCCCTTCCAACAACGAAAAAAAAAAAATAAATAAATAAAAAAATAAATAAATAAAAACGCGTGGAGCGATCTCTCGGTGATTGAAAAGTTGATGCTTCGTGCGCTCGCTACAACACGTCGGAATCGATATTTTCGTGAATTTTAATGTACCCCCCGCTCGCGCTTTTATATCCTGCTGCTGCGCTATCGCTCGATGGATTGTAAAATTTTTCCTCTCTTTCCTTCCTCCTTTTTTCCCTTTCTTTCAATTTTTTTTTTTTTTCGTTGTTACATATTTAGTAATGGAAGCTCGAAGTTACCCATTGCGCTAGAAGCTATACAGAACTGCACTTTACTTTACGCGCAGCCGAAGCCGCGATACTGCTACACCCACGCGGCGGCGGCGGCGGCGGAATAAGGGATTGAATTTTGAACAATCGATATTAACTTTTCACGATACGATGACGACAGCAGCGTCGAGGCTCGACTACTGCCAGTGTATGTGGCATGTGTAGTATCGTATAATACGTTACATATACAACAAAACAGCCTGCGGAATTATGATATAGGTATAACAGCAGTGTCGTATAATACAATAAACTAAGCTCGCTCGCGCGTGTAACGGGGGAGCTAGCGGCGGCAGAATAGATACCAGAGAGAGAGAGTAAAGGATGCCATCGTATCGCGGGGCAGCCGTGTATGTGACACGTGCGCGTGTGTGTGGATCGGTAAATATTATATCGAGGACGAACACAAAAAAAATATAAAAAAATAAAATAAAATATATAAAAAAAAAAGGAAGCGTAAGAAAATTTTGTCGACGCAAGAGTAGAGAGCCTGCCTATCTATACGACGTTATACTGGCGTCCTACATCATATATAAATATCGCATCGATTCTCCTAGACGCAATTTGCAATATTTGCACTCGCTGCCGCATGCGGCATGGCACACACATACATATACAACGAGTAACTATCGCACAATAAAATAGGAGAAAACTGCCTGGACGTTGTATCGAATATATATATATACGAACGAGGGGTAAAAGAGAGCTACAGCTCGCTCGTGTGCCGGCCTGCTCTCCGACTCTCTCTGTATCTAGCCGCGTGGGTGCAGTTTCGAGAGTGAGGCCAAAGGTAAACAAAACAAGTAACGCCGCCGACGCCGCGCGAGATATGCATCCTTTATAACAGGCCAGACAGGAGATAAATGTATATATGTATGCGTCTGTGTGCAGGTATTATTATTTTATATATGCGCATATATGCTCACTCAGCCGCTCTCATAGAGAGAGAGAGAGAGAGAGAAAGAGAGATGGATGAGAGAGACAGAGAGAGATCGCAACCCTGTTATGTATGTATGACCTATTTCATATCAGGTAGGATAGTCCTTGGCTGTTGTTGTTGCACTGTTACTGCCGCTGCTGCTGCTGCTTCTGCTTATTGTGTGCAATGTGCATTACACATACTGTGCGTGGTTAATTATCAAGCAAGGCCAATTACCCTATGCACTCGAGTATACGTACGTGCGGGTATATCGTTTTTTTTATCATTTCTTTTTACAAAACTCGACCCATTATCATCCACAACCCTTGGCGCTCTATATATATGCACCACCATTATTTATAAAAAAGTAAAGCTCGCGATCCGAGCGCGACGTCGCGTACAGAGGTATATACAGATGAACGCGTGAACGGACGACCGAAGACCGTGAATGCAGCGAGTAGTGTCCCACTTCTGCTGCGCAGTAAACGAACAGATTTACGCGAACAATAAGCGTGATTCTGGAGCTCGTGGGCATCTGGTTCATGGGGTATTGTGTCGGAGACGTAAATTCGGACGAACGATTTTCGATCGATTACAAGATTCTATGTACGACCCAGTTCTCACGTGTTGGTGTTACACTCGAGAAGCGAGAAAAAAAGTCGACGATTTCGAGAGCTTGCAGGAGCAAGCAGCGTAGAGCAAAAATCTAGAAATAAAAAAGCACGATTTCTCGCGCGCGCCCGCGAGAGAGCATTTATATATATGTTTTTCGTGCACTTCCAAGACATTTTATGTACGCCTCGATTTTTTTTTCTCGCGTCTTGGATGTATATGTACCTGCGCACGAATTCTCCCGAGGAAGAGAGAGAGAGAGAGAGAGAGAGAGAGAGATGTACACTCGGGTTGCCGTTCCGCGTGGTATAGGCCAAGGGATCGCTAGCTATACAGCCGAGGATATATATAAAGAGAGCTATTGAGAGCGCAGCAAAGTTGGAGCAAAGCAAGGCAAAAAAAAAAAAAAAAGAACAGGAAAGAAAAAGAGCGCAGGTAAGGCTAATACATAAAAAAGAGCTATTACAAGCTTCCTAGCTTTATGCGTGTAACACCCTAAATATATATTTATATAGCCTGGCGCAAAAGTCGTATACACCCTGTGTAGTAGCGCGTGCTGTTGCTGGTGGTGGGCCACACGAGCTTCTTCTCGCTCATATACTGCACTTTTACCACCTTGGCGTTATATAAACCAAAAGAGAGGAAAATATACCTATATCTTTACGTGTAAGCGCAATGGTGTATGTAGCGCGCGAGTAATCCCCGGGCCTATATAACGTTATATATATAAAATACGTCGTACCCGACGACGAAGCTTTCGTGTGTGTGTGTGTGGCAGTGTTTTTAGTCCATTTACGCGAGAGAGATCCAAGTGCGCAGTGCGAGCACGTTTTGCCCCGGCCCCGTGATGAAGTGCCGCCGTGCGCCCGATCGCATCGTAAGGGCGTCATTACTCGATATAAAAGCTGCTGCTACGGCTGCTGCTGCCTCGTGCGCACACGCCGCGAGAATGACCAATCGACGAGTACGAGCGAGGCCTCTCAAGATATTCCGCGCCTGCTGCTGCTGCTGCTGCTGCTCATGCTGATGATGCCTCGGGTCTATAAAGCGTATAAATGTGTGCGCCAGCGTAAGGAATTAGAGACGCGAAAAATAATATAATGAAATATATATATGCTGTTGCAGGTAGAGGACGACGACGGCTGCGAAGCGCGTGGCTCGACGGGACCGGTGGCCGATAATATTAATACGCACACGAGCGCGCTCAGTTTCAAAAAGATACATATCCGTACTACGCCTTCTTCTGCGCTGCTGCTGCTGCTTCTTCTTCCTTCTGTCTGTCTTTTTGTTTTTTTTTTTTTTTTTTTTTTTTTTTTTTTTTTTTTTTTTTTTTTTTTTTTTTTTTTTTTTTTTTTTTTTTTTTTTTTTTTTTTTTTTTTTTTTTTTTTTTTTTTTTTTTTTTTTTTTTTTTTTTTTTTTTTTTTTTTTTTTTTTTTTTTTTTTTTTTTTTTTTTTTTTTTTTTTTTTTTTTTTTTTTTTTTTTTTTTTTTTTTTTTTTTTTTTTTTTTTTTTTTTTTTTTTTTTTTTTTTTTTTTTTTTTTTTTTTTTTTTTTTTTTTTTTTTTTTTTTTTTTTTTTTTTTTTTTTTTTTTTTTTTTTTTTTTTTTTTTTTTTTTTTTTTTTTTTTTTTTTTTTTTTTTTTTTTTTTTTTTTTTTTTTTTTTTTTTTTTTTTTTTTTTTTTTTTTTTTTTTTTTTTTTTTTTTTTTTTTTTTTTTTTTTTTTTTTTTTTTTTTTTTTTTTTTTGTAAAAAACTTTTTATTTTCTTTCGTCGCTCTCGGGCATGTGTATTCGGCACGCGTGCGGCACGCGGCACGCATGGCTCCTCTTCTCTTTTTCTTCTTCTTCTTCGTCCAATTCGTTTGCAGCCGCACAACCTGCGTATCTTTATCTGCGCGAGTCGCCAAAAACCCAAGAGTGAATATGGCCCCATCACAAGCTGTTGACCGATGCATATACACACACACACACACACTTCGCTGCCAGGCTGCTGCTGCTGCATACGGGCCCAGAGGCTCTCGGACAAGATTTGC